GATGATCATCTTCTGATGACTTAATGTGACGAAATCTGCCAGTGGAACAGGACACGACCTAATCGTTACGTGTAAATTTTGAAGTGGGTTGTGTCCTATGTGTATTTGCTCTATCCCGATAATATCTTCTCCCTTTTAAATTATCCAGTTTGCCTCACCCTTCACAGGTTTGCTGCCCCACATGTATCTGGCTTTGTGTTAGACTGCATATACTCTCACTCAGTTGACTTTTACCATGGTCGCAACATTTTTGGGTGCATAAACTGCTCTTCAATCACTCACATGATCCGGATTCGAACCTCTGTTGACTTTGTCTGGTTTACTAAATGAAAGTGATCCCGAAAAAGGGAGAAGGCAGGAAACTAAACCCTTTAAAAGGACCTAATGTATACTACTTATTCTATAATATGCATTCGAACTTCGTCTTTTCCCCAATTTTTAATGGTGACACATGAAATATTATTCTTACAAAACTCAAAGATGGCCCAAAACTGCTTACAACATAATATGATAAATTATACGCAATAATTAAATGTTGATACTGGTAAGATGGGATGAAACATTCAAGAGAATTTTTTAACGAAATGAAACCATAAGAACTGATAGAGACCAAGGTTAAATGAACGTTTCGTTTAAGTCCTGACAGTGACCTTGCTCCTATTCCTCTATGAAGAGAATTACGCATCATTAATTTTCTATTTCACTGTGAATAAACCGAACTTAGATAAAGTGCATTACTGAGCTCTGCATCTGAGTGGCAATGACCTAGCAGTCCTGTACTCCACTGATTAAATGGAGAAAAAAAAGAATTTTACTTGGTTTTCAGCAACATCATCCTTGAATCTAACCTTACATACACGAACGTAAAATTGACAAATGAATATTTGCTATAGATGGCTAATAATTACTGACTCCTCACTTTCTGAAACAAGGTGAAGTTACTGTCCCATAATATAACAGTAAAAATTGCCTCATACTTATCATCTGTGTTGTCAGAATCGGCCGTTACTACAGCCCTAAACTTTTTCATGGATAAAAATAATACTGATATATGGTTCAGGTGGATGAGATTAGTGTAATTATGTACTCTCAGCTGGACAGCTTAGGTTTATTTTATTTTTATTATTCACTTGCGTTCCGAGTGGAACACAGGGCTTCAACAACACATCTCAACTTTGCTCTAATTCCCACTGTCCCCTACAGCTGGGTCCACGAGTCACCGAACTCTCTCATCTCTTCCTCACACGATCTCTTCCATGTCACCTCCGCATTGACGACGTATTCGTTGGTTCCCATTCGATCTCCACTCGAGGGTCTGGTGGGCGGTGTCATTCGGCGACTTCCCCAGCATGTGCTCAATCCAGCTCCATTTTCCTATGCACATTAGTCGAACAGTCGGCTCTTTCTTGATTCGCTTCCAACAGGGTTTCCTGTTACTTATTCTTCCTAGTTGGCCTTTTGATCTTCAGTATGGAGTCAGCGAAGGCTGCTGTTGGTAAACGTCTGCCACAATCTGTTGGAAATCCTTTTCGTGACACACAGTGCAAGTTTCTGACCCGCATAGAACTGACTGATTCTCACATTTGTGCCGAAAATCCGAGTTTTGTTTTTTATCCTGAGGAGAGCAGGAGATTTCCAAATTGGTCTCAAGTTGATGAAGGCGTATGTTGCCTTTCCGATTCTGACTTTGACATCTTCGTAGATAAGTGAAGGAAGTCACCTCTGTCAAATCTCTCCCATTGATGGTGATTGGCGCTGGTTGTTGTTGCTGTTGGTTGGTTATCTTCATCACCTCCGTCTTCTCTATGTTCACCCAGAGTCCTGTCTTCACTACCAGCCTCTTCAACCAGTTTGTGGTTTTTCGCTTGCAAGTCTTCGAGATTGTGTGACATCAAACATGAATTATCCATCCGTAAACTCCAGATCTTCTAGAGTCTTCTTATCGGTCCAGTGTATTCTGAGTTCTCACTCCCGACGCACAGTCTGACGCATAATCCAGTCCACCACAATCAGTAATAACACTGGTGGTAATAGGCAGCCCTGTCTTACTCTTGCATTCATTTCGAACGCCTCGCTGTGCTTTACGTTGTGGATCACTAGACACGTGGCATTGTCATATAGCTGTTGAATGAGATTGGTAAAGATTTGGGGCTCTTCGTGGCATAGTGTTGAAGTAGTTTCCGAATTACTTCTCGGTCAACGCTGTCTGTTGAAGGCCTATTCAAAGTCGATGAAGGAAGTTGAGGTAGAGATTTGACTGCAATTCTATGCTTTAATCGATGACGATGCGTAGAGTTGCAATTTGATCAGCACATGATTTGCCTTTCCTGAATCGCGCATGCTTCGGCAGACATAGTTCTGTAAGCAGCGCATCGTTTATTCTCTTCAGGATGATGTGACTTGGTATTTTACTTGATGTCAGTTCTTGCACAGGTCTAAGTTGCCCTTCTTTGGCAGTTTGACGACGTAGCCTTTCTTCGAATCAGCAGGCACCTTTTTATTCTTTGCAAACGTTCTGCAGTATTTGAGTGGGAACATCTGCCGTTATCTCTGCGGCCGTCTTCAGTGCTTCGGGAGCAATGCCATCTCGTCCTGCTGCCTTCCTGGAATCCAGCAGCTTGATTGCATTCAGGATTTATTTTTCGCTGGAGGATTGGTATTTCCGTGTAATTTGCTGGTGGTATTTCTGGTCGATTTGCCTGTGGTGGTCAATTCAAGAGTCGTTTGAAGTGATCAGCCCATTGTTTGATTTGGTTTCTCTTCCTTGGTGATTGGTTTATCTTGAGTATCTTTTATAGGTTTCATTATCTGAATTGATAGGACAGCTTAGATGTGGAGCTTCTATTCTGTTTGTTCATGAAGAATTTGGAAAGCACATTTCATATCCAAGTGTACGTTGAAGTTGTCTAGAAAGACGATGAAAGGTTCTCAAATAAACTATCCAGCTCGGAGAATACAACTACACCAATATATTCATACAGGATTGGTTAAACTGTACTGTTGCTTTACTCTCTGTGATTTAGCTGAATGAAGGTTAAATATTTTTAAATGGACACTGGGTAACTCAAACATGTAAACTTAAAATATTACATTACGACGTAAAAGCTGAATCCTTTCTTGCAATTATATCAATATACTTTGATAAATGAAAGGACACAGAAAAACGTATATTTTCTGAATCCCTTATGTTATCCTGTTTTAGTGAAGCAGAAATGCGTTCAGCATTCAAAACTGCGGACAGAAATAAATCTGGCCGGATCGATACTTATGAATTGCAGAACTTCTTAAAATGTCGAAAGAATGTTGTTTCCATGGCAGTCTGTTCGAAATGGATAATTCAGAATGACAGAAATGGTGATGGAAAGTTGGACTATGAGGAGTTTCTGAGTTTTATTCGGTCAATGCTTTGAAAGAAAGCCTTCAATCATTTTCTTGTGTTTAAATACTATTGGTGCTTACAGTGTGACACCAGCTTATCAGTAGAAAAATTTATTAAATCCTATTTATTTGTTTTTCAAAGTCCACAGACGAAGATGTAATGTATGAGTTAGCCCTTAAAGATACACGAAGGTAATACTGGTCAAGAATTTCCTGATGACTAGTGCTTTATGTTCAAATTTTGAAAATATTTGTATACAATACGAAAGTTCGAGCAAATGCGTCCAGCGTTTACTAGTTCTAAAATGTTAATCGATAATAAACAAAAGCCAATAGCGAGTGAAGTTCAACAGTTTCGACTTGATAATAAATATCATGAATTCAGATTAAAGCTAAATTATTACGAACAGAAAAATAAATTCATATTCTGCATGTACAGCGAAATAAGCACCAAAAGCACAGCGTGCATCATGCATATTACAAAACGGCCGTTTAGTGCATTTCAGCCATATGATACACACAACTCAGAGAGCTGGTGAGTAATTTCAGGAGTGATTGCCATCTTTTGATTTTGTTGTCCTTCACTTTCTTATTATATGGATAGCAACATAGATTCGAGTGAAATTTTTGTTTCTGTCGCCAAAAGACGACACTCCTTTTTGACCTCATTTTAAATAAATTGCTCATTATCCTACACATAAACAAGATTGCGAAGACACTCAAGATCGACAAGCTCTGACTTTTACATATTCCACCCCCGTACACTAGAATCGAGCAACTATGTGTGGAGTAGGTTGCCAGTTACCTGACTTCACTTTAGTTGTCAGGTAGTCGTTTGTGTCGTTATTATCAACGGAACAGTTAGATTAGGTCAATTTCAGAAATGTTTGGCAGGATAAGGGTGTTTAATAACTTCGATTCGTACACATATATGATTAATATCTGTGTAGATTGATTCTGAAGGATTCCCTTACGCTGAGTAGATACGAAACTGTGTCAAATATTCCTTTACCTCAGTTTTCAGTGTTTTCATCAACTAGGAGTATATTGCATGTAAGTAGGCTGATTTCTTCAGGAACAAGTCCTATGTTATGGAAATTCGAGAGCCAGTGAAGTGATTCGCACTCACAGCATATTCAACTACAAATAGCATTCCATATTTCCTACGCCTTACATGTAATTACTAGTCTGTAGTTTGAACAACAGTACTAGTTTGCCATAAGAAAAAATTAATTTTCTTTACAAGGATCTTGTTTTCACTAAGAATACTTCACCTGCTCAAGGTGACAGTCTAAGAGATATGAATTACGAGATGCTAAGAAACCCATAATAATGTACGGAAGATGTGTCTCCTGAGGGTTGTGTACATGGTCAAAAAGACCCACCAAAAATAAATGATAACTGTGAGACTCTAATACTTTAGCCATGCTTCTAAAGAATACAGCCAAATTTACTTTGGCTAAGTTTTGCTGTAATCTCGTCAGAAGAAATATTTCTCTCACTGCAGATATCTCTTGTTAGCTGTCTAAGCAGTCAATAGATGTATAGAAGACATTTCGGCTCCGAAACACCATACCATCCTCCTAAATGTACTATTAAAGGGATTCCTCTGATGATCCTCGGTCATATGCAATCAATCTTCTAACTCCCACAGCTCGCTGAAACAAACTTTTTACTTTAGTCATGATGCAGTTAATTCAAAGAATCGAAGGTTCCTATGGTAACAATGACCAGTTAAAAAAATCAGCAGTTTAAAAACAAAGATTATTGATGAATAGAAATACATACATATATAATGGCAGCAAGCTCTTGCAACTTTTGGGTTTTAGCGCTTGTCCCAGGCACAACGTAGCTATGCATCTTACTTCCGGGGTTATAACTTTCATTTTCTGTTGTTTTACATTCATTGCCATATACAGTAAATTGAGTACCTAAAAAGTTAGAGCGCAGTTTGCCAGCTAAACACTTTGCACCCCGTGATAAATTGGTGACATCACACGATATCACATAGTTGCTAGTTGTCGATCGTTTACGGCGTCTAGCTGCCAACAAGAAAAACTTACGATCTTCCTTTTCGAGATGGAGGTAATACGAAGGATAAATGCCACCATCGACACCTCGTTTGTCTCGAGTTATACAACAATGCATCGTAACACCCTATAAAATTTAAAAATCAAATCAAAAATAAGGTTATGTGATTGTTAGCACTTTAGAATGAATTTTATGTCCAAAGACGAAATCTCTAGATAACATGAGAACTTTTATAGTTTCAATGAAATCGAAGGCTTCGTTTAATGGGACGAGGATTATTTAGGAATAGAACTTGGACACTGGTGGTATAGAATAATCAGGTCAACAGAAGCTTTAAACGGACAGTCTCTAAGTAAGTTTGTACGTCTAAATGTCTTCTGTTAGCCCAGTCAGACAAAATGCTACAGTTTATAGGATACCATGAATCTGAATTCAAGCACGTAGGTCAAAGAAGCTGATTGGTCGCTATAAAATTATCAAAATACAGAAGCTTAACCAAATATACAATGACGAATTCAGCTATGAGAAAAGGACGTAAACAGCGAAGAAAATTTTCTTTCTGACAACTCATTTTCATAGGTTGTACAGTCGTAATTATATTTAACAGAAAATTATAAGACCAATCAGATACTGGTAAAATTTGTTCTCGAAAAACGTATTGCGTAATGTAAGGTGTAACCTAGAACGGGTGACTAATTGGAAGTTAGAAAAGAGGCAGAATTTGGCATGACGTAATAAGTCTGAGATAATGACTGATCAATAAGATTGTGTAGAATGAACAGGAACTAGTGGAAAGGCGATAAAGTGTTTTTGTATAAAATTTGTATGAAAACGCAGTTATGAAAAATAATAACACCAAAACCAAAGCACTAGAAACAAGAGAAATGCAAAAGGTTGATAAATGAAAAGGGAGCTTTGACTACACTTTTGGAAACCTGCGTAAAAGTCGTGCAACTAAGAAGTTCGATAATCTAAGAGTTGAATATGGTATATCCCACATAGATTACTGTCGACTGTCTCCATTTCATCATTGGATATGTGTTAAACCATGTAATACAACCGACCTTATGGCACGGAATTCTACCTAAAACTAACAGCATTAATTTTCCAACATTATGTATCCTAAAGACGGAGGCAAGCATACTTCAACTAGTCAAAGTGGACTTCAACTTTAGAACTTGTAAGTATTTAATAAACGATGAAGACTGATACTAAAAACACTGACTATAAGCTTACAGAAGTTGGAAAAGTCGGAAATAAAGTCACTGAATCACAAAATTGAAGGAGAAGAAGTGAAACTCATGTTTGCTCGTTTATACTATGTAAGTCGATAAATAATACAAATACACCGGTTCACAGAAGGATACCTATAATCTAATTACACTGCCGTTTAAATAAATGTTTATCCGACATTGGAGTGTGATGCTAGTGTATAGCACCAAAAGAGTACACATCTCTAAATAGAATACTATAAAACATATTCCTATCAATAAGAAAATCCGGTAATCAAAGTAATCTATTCGTAATAATTAAATACACTTACCTGCGGAGCAGGTTTCAGGATAAGTCCATCCAAGTCCCCAGTTGAATCGAAAGCTAAAGGCTGGATTAATTCATGGAACTCTACATCTTCACGTCTCTGAATGATGTTCATTTAAAAAGAAACAAACAATCATATATTCAATATCTTCAAAGTGTATATCACCAGAGCATAGCAGATAATAATGAACAGTTGACCTGTGAGTAATCAGTACATAAAACCATAAATTTCACCAACTAAATAGCCAGATTTATTTTCCTTTGTGTGGTCAATGCAGACTCCTGATTTTCATTTGTTTCTAGTTTTCGTTTCTTTCATAGAAGCATACTATTCTTTTCAAATCGGACAGTTTAGATTTCTTTTTCGTTAATATAATGTCAAGGATAACCTGTTTGTTTGTTTACATTTTTACACTGCGTTAAGAAGCATAATAGTATCGGCGACCATCAATTTTAATTGATTAAAGATACCCATTATAAATTTCAAAGAAATTGATCAGTGAACAAAGAATTTATTGAATTTTCTTCTCTGATCACGTAACCGTTAGGGTGTTTAGACGTTCATTTTCATAGGAAAGTTGATGCATTTGTCTATGACTAAGAATAATCAAACATCTCAAATAGTTTCAATAAAACGCTTCTTTATACACCCTTATGTAAAATACCTCGGAAAAGATTAACGCCTTTCCATGTGAATGTACATAGACTACTTAGTCACATACTAATTATGGATCTCCAGATGCTGGCGAATAATTACAAATTTACACTTGTGATTCACGTTTAACCACCAAAATTGCGAAAACTATTCAAAAAGGTGGGAATGTTTTCCTAACCTACCAATTCTTTCATAAAGCTAAATCAATTTTAGTCTGATCGAAATTGGAAAAGAAACAGTGTCATGATTCAGTTGCTTACAAAATTTATTAATACTGTAGCTGCAGAACGCAGTAATACTTGGGGGCAGAATTATTTATCTGGCAAACGATATACAACGATGGTAAAATACAGAAAGGCTACATTGAAATTTCCACCTGCACAGGCGTTTTGTGTCCTGCTTCTCTCATTTGCGTGATGTGCTTCCTATGTTTTTCCATAAAGATTTGTAGCGTTAAATAATTCCCCAAAATTATTGGCCACAGCATTCATCACTGAACACTGGATGCTGACACTCACTGTTTAAGTCAACTTGTTTAGCTGAAGGCTTCCGGTCAAGCATACACGCCATTTGGTACTCCGTCGTGTCACGTTCGTTCGCTCGTGCACGATCACTGGCTAGCTAAGCAATCATCTCGCACTCCGATTTGGTCCCGAAATATATCTCTTAATTTGGAAGATCAATTATTGTGTTTTGCTTTGCCTTTGGTCTACGCGGAACGAATACTATGGAAGTTGTGAGTATTAGATCTTGCGTTAGTATACTTCGTACTATCCGTGAACGTCAATACCGTCAGCCTCTAAAGATCTATCATTTGCCCTCTTTTCTCAACTTAATCCATCAATCCACCATCCAAGATTACTGGAGGAAACAACGCACAGTATACTGTTGATAAATTCTTATCAATACCACACTCCATACTACTACTACTTTCAAGTTAATTTAAAATCAAAAGCAATATTCGCTTAGGATAGCAATCTAATCAATGTAGTCGTGAACTCTTATCGATTAACTTGATTGGATCATGGTTACCCTGTGTTCAGCTTAGCATTGTTGGCCTAATTACACTTACGTTCACTGATGCCCAATCGATTATTCCCTCTGTCTGTTCGTCTTTCAGGCTTCACCTAGTTTACTAGCCCGTTCTAAGCCAAAGCAGAAGTGACCAAACGCGAACTGAGAGCTACAGCAAAACCTAATCTGAGGAAGTCTAGCACCATATCCATTCCGCTACAGAAACAGTAGTAAAGACTGTTGATGATCTGCAACCAAAGGTAATTAAATGTTAGTAGATTCCTGTTACATCAATTCAAAACAATAGATGCAAGAAAATTGACTCCAGCTGACTCAGAAAATGACAAGAGGCAAAAGCTGTTAAAATGCAAGCTGATTAAAATTAAAAAAGAAACAGTATTACAATTTAATTTTTCAGAAACTTTACTATTCTGAAATGACAGAAAACAAAGGTGCTTGTCCGTGTTTTTACAATGAATTATCGCTAACTTCCTCTTCTGCATCATACATCTGACTATTTGATAAGAATGGCACAGTTAGAGGAGGTGACTTTTACCAAGTAGATAGAGAAAAGCACTAATAAGTAAAACCAGTTAAAACTGATTGAGGACAGAAGTACAGAAATTGATAACCGAAGATGCTGCTGTGTACTACTGAGGAAGTTATGAAGAGAAGAATACCTGATAGAATTCGACACAAGAAAAATCAGAAAACAAACAGCATAGTGTGAGAGGCTGAATACAAATACAGCATGAAGACGAAAACGACTGGTCTGAACAAAGTGAATATTCAATGTAAGTCTGTCACGTTCCTTATCACTACTAAAGCCACTTTCCATATTATTAATGTGGCCAAGGCTATCTCAAGTTCGACGTAGCACTGGTGCCCGACACTCACGATATTTCTTAGCTTGAAGAAGACACTTGATTCCGTTGATAGATGAGTGTCTTAATGTAGAGCTGTGAAATGTTACTCAAGAAAGCAGAAATATGAAAAACCACAGATCTAACTGAGGATGCCTTCACATAGTGAGTAATATTCAGGTCTTCCGTAAAGGGTTAACTTTATTCATGAGAATTTTAATCTTCGTCTATTGGATGTTCAGATTATGTATATTGACGTCTCCATGGATAAAGTTATCGTACATCTGTTTCGCTACTTACTGTCGCTATCATTGGACATTAAAATCCTTATAGTTGACAAATTTCGAGTCAGCTTAAGATCGAAAGGAATTGAAAGTCCTCAATACTTGCACAGTAAAGATCGTATTTTCTGTAGAGTCTATTGAAACACAAACCACTAATATAGAAATGTCCTGCCATACCGAGGGGAAAAGATACTTGGATGACGCATAGTCACACTGTTATGAAGTTAGTGATTATTGTCTTCATAACCTGGGATATTGTGATGAAATACATTTGCACTTAGAATACGTCACAATTTTCTGAGGATAAAACAATTTGTTCTGGTTTCCACAACAAATAGATATTTTACAAGTTAGGAAAATTATTTGAATAGCTATGTAAGTGGAAGTACAGTGGAAAATTTTACCTTGATATTTAAGGAATTCTGAGATTTTGCAACATCGCATGTGTCAGAGTGATTATTTGTAGGACTTAAAACCACCCTTCTGGAACCATCTTCGCACAACTCATACGAATTTTCAATGGTAGTTGAGACCAGTTCCATACTCATTTCTTTGTCACCACTGGAACTATTAATCTGAGACACAATCTTCGGGGAATTAATACGTGAACAAGTTTCACCCCAGGAACAGTGGATAACTGTTGGAGCAAGAGATTTCTCATCATATGAAGAGGTCTTTAAATCACAGATTGAGTCCAGACTCTGGAAAACAAAATAATATTGAAGTGCAATATATAATCTACCCATTATAAACTGAAAACTACCCAGATATTCAATTCACGTTCTTTAAAGCCAGAAATAAAAGTCCTTACTACTGGCCATGAATATAAGGAAACGTCATCAGTTGATATTACTGTGCAACACTGTGTGATTTATCGAAATAAATTCTAATCTATAATAGAGTTATACTCTACCACAGTGCCCAAGTTTTATACTTATATCAATAAAACAATATTGTCCCTATTTCGCTCAAACTTCTGTTTAGCTTAGCAATCGACTATCATACTAATATCGTTAAGATGCGTCAATCATTATAACATGCCATCAACAACGACATACATTTTTGGTTAAACATGGATCAACAATTAGTTATGACTAGTATCTTTACTCTACAACCAAAAAATATGCTGTGGTGGATAGAATAACATATCGTAATTTTAATAAAGCCTTGTAAAACAATTTCACGAAGCATGAATATGTTCATATATGGAATAATACATAATGAAATGCTGAATGGGTTCATAACTAAGATAACACGTTCGGCTTAGTAAAGCAAGATTGTAGAGAAAATGCCTTCTGCACATAGGTTTGTGAGAAACATATGGATGACTGTTACTTGTGAATACGGTATCAGATTTCAGGTGTAATATTGCCTTGTTCATCTACTGTTTGATTGATTCTTCAGAAAGGCAGAGTAAGTGTACCATGGTGACCTAAGAAATAATGAAAGCCAGTAGGTGACAAAAGATTACTGTGTTGTTACCATTAAAAAAAATAAAAACTATACATACATATATGGCGCAAAATCAACAGTTTACCTTGATCGCTTGCGAATAACTACATACAGTACCACGTCTGAGTGATTGTTCGTTGTTACACTGAACAACATTCGTGTCTAATTTCCGGTTGGCTACGCAATGACACACATTGGAATCGTCACATAAACATCGTATGTGTTCCTGATCAATGAAGCAAGAGGACCTATCATTCCAAGTATTCGCTGGCTGCCCCTCAATTTCATTGTCACTTTCTTCTACAGGACAGAGGAATGATATAACATTAAAAATATTCGATAAATTTATTAGGAATTAAAGTCACTGAAATACGATTGGACGCAAAGATTACCTCCTAAACTGCTGGGAAACAACATACTGAATTACAAACAAATCAATAAAATATCTGTAATCATAAGTGAAACAACAATCAAGAAGCACGAAGCTCCGATAACTTGTTGCTAGCTAAGGATGGCACTTCCGACAAAACACTATGAGGGGCAATTCAAATAGCTTACAGCGGTCCTACAGTTGCACATCACACAACCCCCACCTTAATAGAGTGAAGCCATACACAATCAATTTTAACTGAGGTTGAATCATCTGTCTGCAATCTGAAACGAGATATATAATCAGGAACTTACGACAAAATTCTATAAGTGTACAAGTACGTCGAATTATTGACTAGATTAACTAAGTTACTAGCCAGCGTAAGTATGCTAGTCCAAGTTAGTTCCGTCGAACTTCTCTTGATCGTTGATTGTCCCAGTTTATAAGAAAGAAGACAAGCCTTACCGAGGTAATCCA